CACCCGACTGGCCCCCTTTGTGTGGGCCTGATCGGTCAAGGTCCGATCTTACCTCCCTATGTAGAAGCTGCCCGATGGCAAGGGCAAGGTCCCACCTTCGTTTACCAAGTATCTCCCAAATAAGAACGGTTAAGAAAATTCCCACATTTCCGGGGCCCATGAGGCTCATAAACAATAAAGTATAAGAACTGAAACCCTAGAGTTAAGAAGGCAGATTACACTTTTGAATACTCTAATTATAAGGCTTAACCTAGAAAAAAACCCTAGCCTACCTTTTGGCCGGAACACTTTTATTTTTATTTTTATTTTTTTTGACAGATTGATCTATCGATAGATCAATCTATTTTGTTATCCCTACTTTTAAATGAGTTTATAAGAAAAGAATTTGGTCCAATCTATTATGAATCGATGGATTTAAATCAAGTGACATACTTACATTAAAAAATAAAAAACTTATTGAGCTAAAAAAAAACCTCTAATAATTATATCTGAAAAATACAACTATATATGTTAATAATAAAATAAAACAATTGCCAAAAAAAAGTTAAACACGAACCATAATCAATTTAATCAATTTATAATATTATCAAATAATATTAAAATAATAACTTAAAATATTAATAAATAATATTAAATTACAACCAATTCTTATGATATATTTTTACAAAATCATCTATTTTTAATAATATAATAATTTTTTACAATTTGAATCTAATATACTTAAAAAAAAATTATTCAATTCATCTATTCGTCACCTCAACTCTGTACTCAGGAATTTCATATGTGAGAATGAAAACCATTTTGCACCAAGCCAAAGTTATAATCCAAATACTATTGTGGAGGCCTAGGAAATGCTCCAGATATATGATTGAATAGACGTTGAAATAGATTACGAGCTTTTCACTGTTTCTTAGTCTGACTTGTTTATAAAATTAAAAAAGGAAAAAAAAAATGTTTAGGCCTTTTGTAAAGCTTTTATTTATTAAAAAGGCTAAGTCCGTTAAACATTTTTTAAAAACATTTATTAGGTCTGATAACCTATTTAAACTAATATTATATTATAAACTAAATTACAGTTTTAAATTTTTTATAATATCAAATTTGTAATTTTAATTTTATATTTATTTTTAAATTTATAATTTTAATTTCTAAATTTTATAAAATTTATAATTTTAGTTCTTTATTAAATATATATTCATTATTATAAATTTAGTCGGAATTTAATATTAAGTAGAGAATATAACAATTAGTTTTTAATAATATACAAACTATAAATTTTACTTTTATTTTTTGCTCAGTACAATTTAATCTAAATATTAATTATTGTGTCATTTATATATCTAACTTTTGATCCTAATAAATACTATAATAACAACGATTAGCAAATGAACATGTAGTAACTAGTGAGAACATTAAAATTGTAGATTTAATAAAATTAAGGAATTAAAATTATGAATTTTAAAATTAAGGGACCAAAATTATGGATATGATATTATAAAAAAATCAGAAATGCAATTTAACCTATAATATATTAATTTATAATAATAATTTATTTAATATATAATAATAATAATTATTAAAATAATATATTTAATACTTAGACTTATTAACTTATTTAAAGATATTGTATAAAACATGTCATGTAAACTAGATTAAACTCATAAATAAGTAAGGTTATGTCTAAAAAAAAGATATATAAAAGATAAATAAACTAGACTTAAACTTAATGACTTTATTGTAGACTATATTATCAAGTATTTATTGTCTTTAACAATTATTTAGACGACTTTCTCAACCTATATGTGTAGTCTTTTTTATTTTTGACAAGAAAATTATCAAGTTGCTTCATGAAAATATCTTTCTCCAAATCATCATAAAAAAAAAAAATATTTATATCCATTTAGTTTATCTCTAAATTAATACTAGTAGTCAAACTCAATATAATTATAATGAATGTCATTTTTACCATAAGTAAGAATGTCTCATTAAAATCAATATTCTTTCTCTGACTAAAATCTTTCAGCACTAACCTGATTTCATACTTTAGAGACGTAAAATTATTCTCATGATTTACTCTATATATTCACTTATTATTCAAGAATATTTTGTTATTAAAAAAATTCATAAAATTAAAAGTGATTATAATATAAGGATTTCACCTCATTTTGCATAATATATATCCAATCACTTTTGTTTGAATTGATATATTTAGATTCTTGTGATCTTCTCAAGATAAATCTTTTAGTGATGCCATCTTCGTTTGTTTTTTGCTGAACGCACACAAGGAACATTGTATGACCCTTTACTCGAGATCAATGATTCTGAAGTAAAATTACCCCACATGACAACTATAGATAAAATAATCGGCTTCAGTCAAACCAAGATAAACAAAATCATCTGAAGTTATTGTTGTTGGTGACTTGAATGGAAAGCCTGTAGGGCCATCTGCACACTTGAGATCTGCCACACAGAAGTCTTGTACTGAGGCATTGGAAGTGGATAAGAGAAAGGAAACGAGAAAAGCAATGTGGAGAAGCATTTTGGTGGTGCGAGTGGAATGTGAAAATGATAGGCTCCATGATGTTGTTATATATATGTGAGGGTTGTTGCTAGTTGGAGGCTGAATATATGCCCTGTAACTAATAATTAAAAATGTAAAATGAGAGACAGATTAACGTCTTATAGATTCTATAGAATATTATTCTAGTTAGACTTAAATATATTTTTAGTCCCTTAAATTTAAAATAAATTTGTTTTTGGTCCCTCAAATTTAGAACTGTTGTTTTTAGTCTTTATAATTTTTAAAAATCTTGTTTTAGTTCTTTAGATCACCAATAATATATTTGAAAGTGACTAATTAAGATAGTTATGCGATATTAATCAGATTTAATGTGATATTTTTACTAATAAGAATATCGATAGGTAGATTTTATGCAATAATATTTGATAATTTTTTTAATAAAATTTAAATATAAAGATTAAAATAAATTTTTTTAAAATTATAGGACTAAAAATAACAATTTTAAATTTAAGAGACCAAAAACATATTTATCTTAAATTTGAGGGACTAAAAACATATTTAAACCTTCTAGTTATTATTTGGTCTCTCACATTAGCATCACTTAAGAATATATTATAATTTTAGTTTAAATTATCTATTTTTTCTATTGTAAATGGATTATAATATCTCTTGTACTTGATTAATAATTTTTTTTACTGTAAAAAAAAAACTGTTATAGGTGACTATTCCAAGAAACTCTATTAGGATGTATGCTTTGAAATGCATTGGTATTCACAAAATTTGACTTTATTTCTCCAAAACTCTTTAATGAAATCAAAATTAACTCCATCTAGTACCGGGCTTTGTAACTCTAATCCCAAACAACCATCATATTTCCTCTATTGTAAATGGAACAACTAAAGAATCCTTTGCTTCTGTATCTAATTGATTGAAACCCATTTTGGCCAACCTTGAGAGTGTTAGATATTATTATTATTATATAATAGTGAATGATATTTTAGTTTTTATGTTTTTATCTATATATTTTATTATTGTATTTTTGTCTATTATATGATTTGTGAGATAATATTATTATTTTTAATGAAATTTTAGTCTTTTTTTTTTTAATTTTATTTTAATTTTATGTTTGTTCTCTTCTGTGCACATGTGTGCGATTAAATGATTGTTATCAGAGACATTGTTATTTCTTGCTTTCTCTTCGGAATTCTCTTTCTTCAAAGATGATATCTGAACCTTTCCTGCCAAATCTTCATCTAATTAATATAAAAAATAACGTTGATTTTAACTTATAAATTTTTTTTATTTTATTATAGTATTTTACCTTTATATTTTCCCCCCTGCTCCTATAACTAATTGTTATAGAGATTTTTTTAAAATAATTTTTTTTACCTTAATAACAGTTACGAATGGCTATTAAAAAAGTAACACTTATCAATAATAGAATGAAGAAAACATGAAATTATTTATTTGAGATTGTACACTGAGAATTAATGTCTATTTGGTATTAGACTTGAAGTTACATATAAACAACTTTATTTATTTGTATTTCACATTCAATATATAAATTATTTTTTCATTTATAAATTATATGTTAGTCAATGATTACTTTAACACATTAACTTCAGAATATTTGTCATTCCTTCCTAATTAAATTATAAGATAGCTATAAATAAACCATTTTTTAATGTAATTTTTGGGTTTCGATTCAATCTCTTAGCAATATTATTATGTCTTGCAAAAATCTACTAGTATGCAAATGGATAAAAAAAAAAACTCACTCATATTGACCATTAATGCTGATTTGTTTTAAAAATTAAATAAAAAATATAACAAAGAAAATATATTTTAAAAAAAAAAATTTATTCACAGGATTTTAAGATTTTTTTTTGGGAATAACTAATATATTTTCTTTTTATATCCAACACGTTTTCTTTAAAAGTTGTATTCTTTTTAATATGCAATATTAATTAATCGGATCATTTTGATTTACTATATTATGAATACCTTTTTAACTAGATTCTTGTTTTTAATTTTTTTTCCCAAAAAATAATAAGAGGTTCTTTGAATAAATAAAGGAGAAGAATAAGAAATTTTATTAGAGATATATAATTCGGTCTGAACAAAGTATAGGTTGAGAACAAAATCAACTTTCTCAATATTTAATTGGATTGCAAATCAAAAGCTCAAATTTAAAAATCACGAGTTAACTAAAATAATTTCATGTTAGAAAATTAACTAGTTTGGTTGGTAGCTAAAACTAAAATTAATATTATTTATAACAACAGACAAATATCATAGAAAAAGCTGAATGCAATGTTCCATGGCCATCATTTTTCTTTTTATTAAATTTTTTCCATATACATGATGCAATTGGGATTTCCAGAATCTTTGAATCCAGAAAGTACATGAATGCAAGGAAAATGGTGGTTTGTGTTCGAGTGTCAACAATCGCATATTATTTCAAATGTTCATTCACCGACACAAAGTATCCTATAAATTGAGCCTGCACTGTGTGACTTTTGTATGTGCCTTATATTATAACATTGTGCATAGACCATAGCTTAATCCGGCATGTCAAACTCAAACACAAAGAAAAGTCGTGGCCGGCAAAGGATCGAGATGAAGAAAATGAGCAACGAGAGCAACTTGCAAGTGACGTTTTCGAAGCGTCGCAGTGGAGTTTTCAAGAAAGCGAGTGAGCTTTGCACTCTATGCGGCACTGACGTGGCTCTAATTATGTTCTCTCCGAGTGACAAGGTCTTCTCCTTTGGCCACCCTAGCGTGGATGCTGTGATAGAGCGGTATCTCGCACGGGCCCCATTGCCAAACTCAAGCACCATGCAGTTCATCGAGGCTCACCGCACTGCCAACGTGAATGAGCTTAACACACAGCTCACTCAGATCAACATCCAACTCGACGCTGAAAGGAAGCGTGCCGAGGAGTTGGCTCGTCTGAAAAAGGTTGTTCAAGCCCAAATGTGGTGGGCCTCGCCGATTGAGGAGATGAGTACAGCCCAATTGGAGCAGTTCAAGCTGGTGTTGGAGGAGCTGAAGAAACACGTTGCGTGCCTTGTTGATAGAGTTATGCTTCAGAGTGTTGCAAACCCTGCTCATCAGTTTTTCCCTGGAGCATCTTCCTCTCCCAACCTTGTGCATCAACCACAGCCACCCCAGGAGTTCCCCCAACAGTTCATTCAACCACCCATGCTTCAAAACTATATGTTTTCTAATAGGACCATGACGCATCAGTATCACCATGGATTCAATAACACGGGATCCGGAGGATATGGATCTATTGGTGGTTTCTTTTGATCTGTTCAGATATATGATATGGATGCCCTTTTATTTTATAAAAGAAAAAGAAAAAAACATGTTTTTTCAATTTCAGTATAGCCCAGGCTTAGCTAGTTTCATGTATGTGACATCATTAGGACTTATTATATTAGGGTTCGAATATTCCATGGTGAAACATGATTCTTGGATACTCTTGAAGTGATCTAGGCATTGAAAGAAATAGTGAAATGGAAGAGATACATGATTGATATAACTAGCGACAAAGAAAAAAAAAAGTTATCGAAGTGTTTGTAATTTGTGGATATCCAAATATCAACACCTTTCCATTGTCTTGATCCATGATCTTCAACATCGTGTATTTTTTTAATGTTTTGTTATAAATTATTCATCTACACATATAATTGATACTCATTAGTTTCATTCTTCTTTATACATATTTACCCTTTATTAATTACAATAAACTATCCCTTTCTTTTTTGTGTTATAAATTATCCTTTTAACTAGTATAAATCATTCATTTCTCTATTTTGATCTTATTTTCTTCTTCTTCTTTTTCTTATTTTTTATTGGATTTACTACATCCTTCTCATACTTTTTAATATTTATCCATATTTTCAACTTTAACAATTTGTTTATAAATAATGTTTTTTAACATATAATGACAGAATACAATATAAAAAAAATAAAAATGTGGATGGGCAATCTCTTTATCCCCGTCTTTCCATAGGTTATTGTAAAAAAATATATAATTTTTTTATTAAAATTAACAATAATAATTATCATTTTTAATTAGGTCATGAATAATAGTTATAAAATATATCAAATATATTATATATAGTTTATTGAAGCAATTGACTAAGAATTTAATTAAATTATACTAATAATGTAAAAGTTTTTACATTGTTCAATGCCATTAAGTATGTAAGTGTTTTGGAGGTCCCTTAACCATTTATCTCATATGAAGTGGGTTGTCCCACACTCCAACTAACCTCTTTATGATCACTCAAGATGGTCTCGTGAAGATCAACATAGTTTACACATAAACTGACTTAGTCACGTTAAGACCAATTCATGTGACTCAATGATTGGTCACAACTCGTCCTTTTGTTAGAGGAGTATATGGAATTCTCAAGTTTTGTTAAGGATATAGATGATGACTTATTCGTGATGGTGAGTATATATACGGTTCACTTCCCCACCCTCTCTCATGAACCTTCTCTCCTCCAACCTACTCTTTTTCCCCAACAAAAAATAAAAATAGGAACACAATTAGATCAAAATGAGAGGGCGAGGGCGAGGTTAGGGGATATGAGAGTTCGAGAAGTAAAGATGACATTGCAATGTTTTAATTTGATATATTACCAAGGTTATCAGAATTGGACCAATGATCAACTCGATCAAGATACCAAGTTAGTGTGGGTTATTGGTCAAACTAAAGGGATAATAATCAAACTAATGTATTACTAACTAGTTGAACTGCACGAATCAATATATATA